TATTATACGAGGTATGTCAAAAAATATTAAGTTTTATCTGATTAAATTACCGCTATTCACGACAATATGTTAAATTATGATCGAGAGAAGTTGACTTGAATTTAAAACTACGAAAATCAGGTTTAATCATTCACTCTCGAGCTAAATTCATATTATTTGGAATACCTTATATACGACTGGCAAAATTCGATATCTGATATTTGCATTTTCCGTTTCAGGCCATGCAGAACTTTTTATGGAGAATGATCTTTCCTCAAATTGATAATAAAACACTGTTCCATTCGTTGTCAACTTATTCAGACATAGTGTACACCAGCAAACAATAATACCTCAGGATATAATTATTTAAAATCAATGTTATTGAAAGTACAGGGTTTTTATGGATGATCTATCATCATAGTGATAGTGACTATTGGTACCGTGGTAGCAAACTGTTTCCGCAATCCAGTGCTTCTCAAAGCCAATGGTACTTCAGCACCACATGCTCAGAACAATTCCTCAAAAGAACAGATGACTCCAAATGTTTTTCCTCATCCAATCCAGGTAGCCCAAAAACATATACATCATTCCTAGGTACACCAGCATGTCTTCTATATTTTATTATGGTATCGTATGGAGAATGATCTTTCCTCAAATTGATAATAAAAAACTGTTCCATTCGTTGTCAACTTATTCAGACATAGTGTACACCAGCAAACAATAATACCTCAGGATATAATTATTTCAAATCAATGTTATTGAAAGTACAGGGTTTTTATGGATGATCTATCATCATAGTGATAGTGACCATTGGTACCGTGGTAGCAAACTGTTTCCGCAATCCAGTGCTTCTCAAAGCCAATGGTACTTCAGCACCACATTGCTCAGAACAATTTCTCAAAAGAACAGATGACTCCAAATGTTTTTCCTCATCCAATCCAGGTAGCCCAAAAACATATACATCATTCCTAGGTACACCAGCATGTCTTCTATATTTTATTATGGTTTCGACACATATCAACAATTCTTCTTTCATAGAACAGGCACTGAACGTCCTCTTTTACCTTCAATTACAAACCTGACATATTCTTGAGCAGATTCTCTGTCCGTCAAAGATGATGATCTGTATATTTCTAAGTCTCTTGAACAGATTAGTAATTTTCAAACCCTTCAATGGTCAATCGCTCAATATCTCCACATCGTCTCCTATTGGAGATTAGTATAGACGTTAGAGTACACATCGCTAAATTTCTCCATGCATACATATCAAATCTTTCCTGAAGAATTCTCAAATATTTTTTTCTCTCATTATTCAGGAAATTATTAAGCTTTTTGATGTCTTCTTGTGAGACATGAATGATGTATAGTCTTCTTCAACAATTCTAGGGAAGTTGTTCGTTTTTTCTACGCCATCCTCATCCTCTTTCTTCATATACTGGTTCTTCAAAAGCTTGGTGCAATTTTCAAAAAGGGTACCACATTCGGAAGCAGTTGCTGTAGATTTTTTTTATTGTCTGCATTATGAACTGCTATTAACAGCTCAACTGATATCATCATGGTTCGTAAACACAGAAGCAAAATCAGTGATGGAAGGATTAATTGCTTTCACTGCTAGCATATACCATCCTATCAATCGTAGCTTGGATCTGATCATCTCATATAGATGTGATTCACTGTTAACTTATCTCCAGGAAAAATTCACAACTCATCATAGCGTATAACATCAGTTACCAATTCCCCAATCTCGAAAAAACTTCATTCTTCAGTAATGAAGTGGCTTTATGATGGATTCGTACAATCTTGGAATCAACAGACGAGCATTTGTCATGAGAAGTACATTATGGATCACATTATTTGATAAAGTGCCTCCTTAACGTTTTTTCAGTTAAATCCTCTGCATGATGGACATACTTCATAGTCAAATACTCTCTGTAGGTTAATCGAGGAGGTGGTACATTCTCTATAAAATGAAAATATCGATATTATTTCAATAAACGTGTAGTAAGGACAAAACAGATGATTTGCCCCAAAATGTCACTGCGTCTGATGAGTTCACCTATCAGAGATCCTAAAAGAAAAATCCACTAGCTTGTCAGTCACAATTTGTATTTAAAAAGGTTTAGAGAAGAGAAATGAAGGTATATAGAAAACATATAAAATTTTCACTCTTCTTTGGACGTTTAGGGAACGAATCTCTTTTCGTTTTCAACATAAAAAATGGATATTCGTATGGTAAATCCGAAATCGTCTTGACACTTCTCAGTTCTCAGGGACAATTGGTGACGTTGGCGATCAAATGAGTTACAGGATGTTTCCATTATTCAATCTTGGATTTACCATTATCATTTTCGGATTTCAGTAGTGGATACCATGTTCTATCTATATCAACTGAACAGGAAGCAATGCTATTGTCTCCGTTCAGAAGAATACCAGCAGATTCATTGATTTTTCTCTTCAGGTTGTTATTCGTCTTGACCCTTTCCAGTTCTCAGTGAGAATTGGTGACGTTGGCAATCAAATGAGACACAGGATGTTTTCAGAAAAACACATCGACAAATCGAAAGTAGCTTAACATATCCTTACTGAAGATGGACAACATAGATAACAACCAGAAGAGAAAAATCAAGGAGTCTGCTTGCATTCTTTGGAACGGAGATAGTAGCATTGCTTCCTGTTCAGTTGATATAGAACATGATATCAACTACTGAAATCTCATTTGATTGCCAACGTCACTAATTTTCACTGAGAACTGAGAAGTGTCAAGAAGAATACGAATTTGCCATACAAAAATCCATTTTCTAAATTTTTATGCTGAAAACGAGATCGAGCTCGAAACATCCAAAGATGAGTGAAAATCAGATATTTGTTTTATATACCTCTATTTCTCTTCTCCAAATCTTCTTCAATACAAATTGTCACTGACAAGCTAGTGAATTCTTCTTTCAGGCACTCTGACATGAACATTTTTTCGACGCAATGATATTTTGAGGCGAATCATCTGATTTTTCCTTACTACACGTATATTGAAATAATATTGATATGTTTACTTTATAGACACGAGGAGAGAAAATCCGAAATAATGTGAAATGATGAAACACTGTATACTATTCTGGGGCTCGGTTTCTCTCTATATTAGGTCTTCTGGATACGATTAGAACGCCTGTGTTGAATTGGGAAACATTATGCATGAATGTGCGTTTGTTTCTGATCACATATATCTTTTTTGCCGCTTAGTATATCCTACAAAATTCTTTGTTATCAATATAACTGTACTTTTTATTATGCATACAATATGTTTTACGTGAAAATGTGACAAATTGAGATTAAAGTTGAAAAATTTCCGAGACAGCAAATTCAGGAACTGTCTTCATGTAACTCTCGAAGAGATTCGAGGGACTGAGAATGCCATAGATCTCAAGTCAACTTCCTTTTTTTTTTTTGTCGATAGAGTTTGTACTGAGATACCTCTCCCAAATTCTCAGTAGATCAGTTGCTAACACTGATCCAACTAGCGGAAAAAGCATTGCAGCATAGTTATCACTAGTTACTCCCAGCGTTTCTAAGGCTCTCAACTGAGTGTCCAGTCTGTCATATAAACTAGCTAAGGTCGTACCTGTTTCAGTCTTGGTTGCTTGCCTGAGTACGAGATCCAATAACTCTCTTACATAGACCTCAATCAAGAATTCGTCTCTAGCGAAACGTGTTTTCATCTGGACAATGGCAGCAGATATGGAATTTTATCTTTCGATTCAATATCATCATAAGATTTTCTTGAAGTGACCCCATAATCATATCCAAAACCTAACGTTCCCATAAAATTTCTTGTTTGGACTTCTCTTTCATCAATATCTCGCATTTGGACCTGTATTTGATGATGTCTTCTCTGCAGAACTCGACTTGTTCAAATTCCTGCTCCTCACCTGGATTTGACGAAAACAAGTCTTCCTTTATTTGTTCATCTCTTCCAACTGACTCAGTAGAACTAACACCTGTTCTCTGCTCACTTACCTGTCTGTAAGTGCTAGTTCTGACTGTGCACTTGTTCTCTTGAAAACTTTTCGTAGCTGCTCCCTCTCTTGCTTGAGGGTTTCCATCGGCAATATGTCGTCACAAATGTTGTTTTTGTGATGGAAAACGTATAATGAAGAGGACCTTTTAAAAATGTTCAATGATTTTTTTTTTTATTCAATCTGACATGACATTACTATATTGTCACAATAAAAGAGTTGTGTTTCCACCATGTCACGATATAGTAGAGTGGTTATCTCATTCATGTTACGATATATGAAAGATGGTTTCTGTCCATCCATATCGATTTATAAGGGGTAATGCTCAGCTTAATAGATTGCGTATGCTCTTCCATGTGAACCTAAGTTTGCTGAAATCGGTCGGAATAAACGGGAGAAATCTTGGTTTGTTTAAAAAAACAATTGAACTCTTCCACCGCTTTATTTTAATAGATAGACCAAAACGTTTCAGACGAAAAAATCATTGAACAAAATTCTATAAAAATCCCATTTGTCTACTTGGTGTTGGTCTAGCGGACGTTTGACAAACTCGAAAATAATTTCCAGCAATTTCTCTTGGCGACTTTTATCATGATTTTGTTTTCTCAAATCTATAATATCTTATCTCTCTAATAATATCTTATGAGATATGGCCGCTCGCTACCCTTAACTGATCACCCTGTACAGTTGTGAGCACAAACAAGTCGTACAGCAGTTATTGGCTATTGTGCGTCAGGCTTGTCAATATTGATTGACTTCCTTATCGACTTTGATATGACGTTAAATATCTCTGTTTTTGTCAGGAACGTGCAAATGGGCATAGCCAGGTTCACACCATACAAAATTGTGAGACTTGTAATTGCACACAACTGTACATACATACTAATTTATATTTGACTCAAAATTTTCTGAATTTTGTCAACTTGATAACAGGAAAACTTGAATAAACGGGTGAACGACCAACTACAATCAATCAATTATTCATTTGCAGATTCGAAAGATACTCTGTTGCGAATGAAGAGGCCCATGTCAAGAATATCTGTAGAATTGAATCGGATCGGATCGATTCATGAAAATACCCAAGAAAATTTGTCTGGTTTGAGTAATATTTTGAATGACCTCGAAAATGTATCTTTTGGATCTGACTTGATAAATATAAGTGATCCAACTATTTCCAAAACCTTTGAAGATCATAGATGTAGAACTTGTTCATTCGTTGAATTGGAGTACATTGATGAAATCACATCTGCGGAGGAAGAAATTGTTCCGAAATATGATTCTTCAACAAGAGGAGGCGTTCTTCAAGAACTAGAAAATGTTTTTTTCGATCGAAACGTTCAGCAACAACAGTACATAGGCAAACAAATGAGTGTTGATGTAACGGAATTTGATACGGACAGCACTACGACAGAAAATACAGTAGAAAATACGAAAGGGAATACAGAGAAAGATACAGAAGGAAAAATAGGAGGAGTTACAGAAGGGAATACAAAAGAATATGCAGAAGGAAATACAAGAGATGATACAGTAGAAAATACAGAAGAATATACAAAGGATAATACAGAAGAGAATACAGAAGAAAATGCAGAAGAAAATACAGAATGTAATGAAAGAGATGATATAAACGAAGATACTGACGATTCTGTTGATGATCCTGTTTATGAGCCAAGTGAAAGTGAGGATTTGAGAGAAGGAGAAATAGAAGATGAAGCTATTGTCAGAGATATCAGTCTTAAATTCGATGGGCGAACTCGTTTCTCCAATTCTTTCAACCAACCCAGCACATCTCGTTGTGACGATACTAATATGTATGTGAATGAATCAGGCACATTTTTGTTTCTACTGTAAAAAAAAACAGTATAAAATAGCACGTCACCTGGAACTTATACATAGGGATGAAGAAGACGTGAAAGAGTTTATGAGCCTCCCCAAAAAACACCGTGAAAGACTATCAATAATAGCACAAATAAGAAAGAAAGGTAACTTCGTATTCAATACTCACAATGAGTTCAATGACGGAGAATTGATTGTTTCACGCCGTCCCCAGAAGAAGATGAAAAAAAACTGCAATCGACTTCAAGGCATGTGCCAATTGCAAAGCCTTTTTTGCAAAGAGTACTTTGAGAACACATTTTCGGCAATGTACCGGTGAAACTACTACAACTAGAAGAATAACTCATTTATTGAATCGAAAAGTGGCTTCTAGAATGCATCACAGAGCGTCTGATACCGTGAGAAAACAACTGATTCCTGTATTGAGAGAGGATGACATAGTTCGATTGATTCGGTATGACGAACTGTTGATTATTTACGCAAATAAAATGACAGAAAAGTACAGAAATCCCCGCCACTTCGACATGATTCGACAAAGATTAAGATTGATTGGTAGATTCTTATCAATTCTGAAAGATATCGACAAAGGAGTAACTGATCTTGCGTCAGTGTTCGATCCGAGATTTTGTGACAATACTTTGATAGCAATCAACCGAGCTGCGCGATTCGATAGTGAAACATGCAATTATGGAGCACCTACAGTTGCATTTAGTTTAGGAAGTATGCTTAAACAAATTGGTAAATTTTTGATCAATGAATGTATTAAAACCCATCAAGAGGACAAGAAAAAAAATGCGAAATCTTTCCTGAAATTGTTAACCGAAGAAATCAATATAAGTGTTAATAGAAATGTCACAGAATCTCAAGTGCAGATGAGAAGACGACAGAAAGTTGTTCTTCCATCGACGGAAGATATCAAGAAACTGCATAAGTTTCTATCGAATATACGGCAGAAGTCATTAGCTGATATTAGGAAAAAATTCTCAGTGAAAGTTTGGATGCAACTAGCGGAAGCAACTTTGATGTCGGTTCAATTATTCAATAGGAGGAGGGCAGGTGAAGTCGAGAGAATACTGGTTGAAGATTTCAATAGTTATCAAAGTATCGATGAAGAGAGCAACAAAGATTTGTTTCAGTCACTGAACGACAGTAGCAAACGTTTAGCCAATAGATATGTACGTTTCGCTATAAGGTGTGAATTGAATAGAACAGTACCTGTTCTACTAGACCAAAATCTCCTAGAATGCATCAAAACCATAAATAATCATCGAGGAATAGCTGGTGTTCCTGTAGAAAATCCCTACGTTTTTGGGATACGAGGAAGGATGAATGATGAATTCAAATACCTAAGAGCTTGTTCTCTCATGAGAAAATTTTCCGAAGAATGCGGAGCTGAGCATCCAGAAAGACTTCGAGGGACAAAGCTAAGGAAACACATCGCGACTACATGCATCACTCTGAACCTAGAAGAGCAGGAAATATCAGATCTCGCCAATTTCATGGGCCATGCCGAGAATATCCACAAGAATATTTACCGCCAACCTATCAGCAGGGATATAATCAGAATGTCAAAATTACTTGAAGTTGCACAAGGAGGTCTTAACAATGATAACAGCTATAGTGAAAATTCCACTGATGATGGGCCAATTGAAGAGACCATTACCACACCTATTTCCTCAAGAAATCCTGCTGTCAGTGTCGAAAAAAAAAGCCCAGTGAGTATATTTCCATATCTGAGTATTTTCAGACTAGGGAATTATGATTTGGTGTTCAAAAGTAACCAACAAGGAAGACCTATCAGGTGGTTTTAGAATTAAATCTCATTCATAGTTCTAGGGCCTCCTATGATCAGAATCACATCACTATAATCATAAAAATTTATTAATCAATTCATGTTGAAAACTGATGATAATATTCTGTTTGCTCATCACTCAAATGCCCGTATATGGAATTCCATCAAAATATCAATTGGGTGGGCCGAATTGAACACCTTGAATAATGGGAAAGTGAGGAAGAACCTATTTCAAAACTAAATGAAAAAAATTCGATTTCACTGCCTGAGGACCAATTTCAATAACAAACTCAATGCTGAAACCCCTAATTTCGATATTCATCCATGTTCTAGAGTTACGATGTTCTGTTTGAAAATGTGAATTTCTGAGAATTGGCTGCAATTACTTTTTTCTATGAGCGTGCAGGAAATTAACATTTTTGCGTTTTGGTGCAACTGTCATCGCGTCCGGTAAAGTACTGCTTTTCGTACTTTTCAGATAATCAAATATTCATCAAAAGTTCTTTGTTTCCATAACAACATTCACAAAGATTCGGATTTGTTATGGATCCTACTGAAATCAGACTCTTCATATCCAGTTTGAAATACATCTTTTCGTCAAATAGAACAAGTCCAAAATTTCCAAAAACAACAAAAAATAACGAGGGAAATTTCTGGTGAACAAATCCCATTTTCGAACTTCATATAT